TTGCTGTATTGCGTTTACAGGAAGGTGTTACAGTGAAATAAAACAGAAATAGGAGTGTATAAAAGGCAGTGGAAAATATAAATCAGGTTGAATCCCCAAGTGAGTTGCTTTGGGGACAGCACTGGGCTTCTGTGCTGAGGATGGGATGCCTTTTCTACAGGGACCCGAGAAATCCAGGGAGGCACTGTGGTTCAGAACTGTCCAGGCGGCAGTAGAACAATAATAGCTGTATCTAACAGTTACTGACCTCCTGCGATGGGCCAGGCGTGGCTGAAAACTCTAAATATGCATGAACACTTTAGAAACTCAGAATATCTCTGAGAGGATGTTATCACCCCCATTTTTTTTTTTTATGAGAGGCTTTTGCTATAGGGTGTGTGAGCTTGCCAGAAAGACGAGATGAGAGACAGAAGGTGAGAAGTCACCCCCCACAGGGGGATGGGCACGCCACAATCCCTTCTCCTCCATTCTCCTCTCAGGATCTTGAGCACGCACACCCACGTGCCTGGCGTGAGTTTAAGCCACCAGGTCTGGGACTCGAACTGTGGTCAACTACGTGGGAGTCTAGTGATATAGCTATTATGCCAACTGCTGGTCCCTGTCATCCCCATTTTACAAATAAGGGACCTGAGGCTCAGAGAGGTCAGTGAGGTTCAGGGTCAGTTAGGAAGAGGCTGAGTCAGAATTCAAACTTGGATTTGTCACAACAGGAAATTCATTTTTTATTTTTTTTTTTAAGTTTTAGTCAAAAGGTGCCTGTACTTGCCAGAGAGAGAGACAGAGAGAGGGAATGTGAGAAATTACCCCTAAGGGGGGATGACCACACCACAATCCCTCCTCTCAGGACTTTGGCACAAATGCACATGCACCTGGCATGATTTTCAAGCTGCCAAGTCCAGGACTCTAACCATGGTTGGCCATGTGGGAGATCAGCACCTTAACTACCATGTCTTAACTACCATGCCACTGGCTAAGCCAGAAAGGGCTCTTACCTCCCATGCCACTGGCTAGCCAGGAAATTCCCTTCCTTCCTTCCTTCCTTCCTTCCTTCCTTCCTTCCTTCCTCTCTTCTTCTTCTTCTTCTTCTTCTTCTTCTTCTTCTTCTTCTTCTTCTTCTTCTTTTTTCTATTAGCAAGATACTAGAAACAAAGAGCTATCCACTTTCTAAAGCCTTCTTTTTAAAAATATTTCTATCAAGTAATATATGCATATAGTTAAAAAGCCATATTTCCTTGCCTCAGCCCTGCCCATCCTGAGGTCTGTTCCTAAGAAGCAACCACTTCTAACACTTTCCAAATGTAGACTGAGTAAATTTTACCTTTAGAGGCCACCTCTCCCAGCAGTCAGTCACCTCTCTGCCCTGAGAGTTACAGGCAGCCTCCAGTCGTGCAGAGCTTTCCCTGCTCATTGAAATAGGCCTGCCCTCTATCCCCTAGAGCCAGATTCTCCATCCCCTAAGCTGCAAACTAGCTAGTAGGATCATCTGTTCTGAAAACCTCCCTTAGCACCTGGTAGAGATATCCTGTCCTCTGAAAAGAAGGCCTTACCCATCTGGGCAGATCCAAATGAGTCTAATGACGGAAGGTTTGGGGCAGTATAGGAGATATTTCAAGACAGCCAAAACCCTTCCAAGGTCAACATGGATGTTTCCATCCTTCTTAGAGTCAGCCCTGCTTCCAACCAGAGTGGGAAAGTCAGGTAGGTGACAGAGAGCAGGCCATCTTGACCCAAATCTTGAAGAAAGACACAGCATGCATAGTGAGGGCACCTAGGAGAACAAAGTTAGCTGGGTGGACTGTCTCCTTAAAATTCCACTCAAAGGGAGTTAGGGCAAAAACTGCTATTTCCAAATCAATGAAAAACTATTGAGTTGTTGGAAAAGTCATGACGTATTTTTTCTGTGCAAAAATGTGTCATTAAGAAATAGAGGAAACTGGGACCAGCAGTTAGCGTAATGGCTATGTCACTGGACTCCCACATAGTTGACTGCAGTTCACGACCCGGACCCAGTGACTTAAACTCATGCCGAGTGTGTGTGCATGCGTGCCCAAGATCCCGAGAGGAGAATGGAGGAGAAGGGATTGTGGCGTGGCCATCCCCCCTGGGGGTGATTTCTCACTTTCTGTCTCTCTGTCTCTGTCTGTCTGTCTGGTGAGTGCACGCACCCTATAGTGAAAACCTCTCAAAAAACAAAAAAAAAAAAAAAGAAAGAAAGAAAGAAATAGAAGAAACAGTGTGTGATTTGAGGATGAACTGAGTGAGGGAGTCAAAGAGTTGGAAAAGTGATCCCCCTAAACAAAGCAGAGAAATAAAAAGGGTCATGGTCTTGAGATTCATGCATCATCAGAGGTCTCCTCTGAGTTCAAGAGTCTTTGCAGATATCACCTCATTAATTCATATAACTCCCTCTTCATATCCATTTTGTTGATGACAGATAGACTGCATGTCAAGGAGATGTGGTTACCAACCTTGCATCCCAAAACAAGAGCGATCCAGACATCTGAGTACCGGGAAGCACAGAATTGTGTGTTGGTCAAGGAGCAGGACACATCTCTCCCTGTCACCTAGGGGGGATACACAGTCAGGACTGAGAGCTCAGTTACCAGGAACACACAGCAGGTCTCTGAACATCCTGGAGCATGAACTTCTCTACAGCTCATACTTTTCCCTCAGTATGTACAAACAAAAATGTTTAAATGGGCAGGAGGTACATATGCATACCAGAGAGAGAGAAACAGAGAGAGAGAGAGAGAGAGAGAGAGAGAGAGAGAGAGAGAGAGAAGGAGCATGGTCATGCCTCAATCCCTTCTCTTCTATTTCTCCATCCAGTTGGGAGTTGGGGCATGCATGTGCACATGCCCAGCATATTTTCTGAGCTATTGGGGCTGGGAATCAAATCACAGTTGGCTATATGGGATCTGGTTCCCTTAATGATTAGGGAATGGGACTGGCCCCAGAACTATAAAATTTAGATGACTCCATTAGAACCTACATAAGAGTGATTATGAGGTGGAGCAAAAACGATGATGCTGGGCTGACATGTGTGCTTGGTGGCAACAGGGCTCACCCTTCAGTCATGTGCTTTTTTCCTCCAATGATTCAAATTTGTGGCCTCAGCAAAATTGCAAATTATTTCACATCACAGACCTGGTATTTGCAAACAGTTCAATCCTTAAATATTAACTCTTGCAGTGTCAGAATTCCACTGTATTTGGCAGCTTCTTGTGAAGCTGGAGACATATAATACTTCTTATCAAGTGGACACTATGTACCGACACACGTAAGTCCTTTACCTACATTGTTTGATGTAATCTTTACTCCAGCCCTATGAAATAGGTAGGAGTATCTCTATGTTAGCTCTGAGGAAGCAGAGGCTTAGAGAGGTTAAATAACTTTTCCAACGGTCACATGACTGGTGAGCTTGGTAGAGTTGGAATTTGAATTAGAACTGACTGACACCAAAGACCACCTCAAAATGCTACGGCTACCTCTCAACAATCAGAGGGAGGCAATTTCCCACAGCTGAACATTTTCATTACAGTAATCCTTGCTCACCCATGATTTTGCTTTCCAAAATTTTATCAGTGGTCAACTGTGGTCTGAAAATAGGTCAGTACAGTACAAAAAGAGATTTTGAGAGACAGAGAAACCACATTAGCATAACTTTAACTACAGTGTATTATTATAATTGTTCTATTTATTACCAGTTATTGTTAAGCTCATACTGTGTCTTATTTACAAATTAAACTGTATCATAGGTATGTAGATATAGGAAATCACAGGTACCCACAGGGGACCTTCCCAGTGTGCTGACATCTCAAAGGATGCCCAGGAGAAGACACAGCGGGAGGGCAGCACCTGCTGCAGCCAAGGAGCAGAGCATTCATGCAGCCACAGCTCCTGACTCTCCTCCCTCTTTGAGTCCTTTGTCTTCTGTTGCAAGAATGACCGCACATGAATGCTGCTGGAAAAATGACTGTGTGTGTCCACAGAGCCCAGCCCAGTACACGATTTAGATTTCCCAGGAATTGGGTCCCTCACCGTCATACTGACACCAAGGATCTGGAGGCACTGGATGGGATCAGTCAGCACCCAAGCCGTGAGCAGGATTGCATCAGCCATCACCAGCGCTGCCACCAGCCCCAGCAACTGCAGGTCTTTGATAATCTGCAAAAGAGTCAAGGTCAAACTCCCCTTTCCTGTTGGTAGCACAACACAGGGCCTGGAGTGTCCCATGTGTGCTGAGCTATAGGCTCCAGGGTCGGCTCTCCCAGGGGTTCAAATACAGCTATCAAAGATGAAGCAGACACCAAAGTTTTGCCATGACTTCTATATTGACATCATTACTATTAAACATTTCCATTGGTTTAACTTTCCTTTTTGTTCTTTCTTTCTTTTCTTTTCTTTTCTTTTTTTTTTTTTAAAGATTTTGTTATAGGAATGTATACTTGCCAGAGAGAGACAGAGAGAGAGAAAAAATGAGAAATCACTCCCTCAGGGGGGTAGCCAATCCCTTCTTGTCCATTCTCCTCTCAGGATTTTGTGCATGCTCTCACCTGTGCCCAGCGTGTTTTTCAAGACACCAGGTGTGGAACTTGAACTGCTCAGTCAACCATGTGGGATCCAACTGCTTTAGCCACCATGCCACCTGCTGGCCCTGAATGCACAAATTCTAAACAAATGTTTTCTGAAAATGAATCCAACAACCTATGAAGGGTCAATACAGCATGACTAAGTGGAGTTTATTTCAAGAAGTGAAGTTGTTTGGATATCTTAAGTCATTTAGCGTAATCCATCAAGTGAACAAACTAAAAAAGAAAAACCATACGATCATCTCAGTAGACAGAAAAAGTCTATTGAAATTTTTGACAAAACCCAACATTAATCCTTGATAAATCTCCTACAGAATAAGATTAGATGTCTTACTTAGATAAAGCATCTACAATAAAGTATATCTAACATCGTGCTCAGTTTTGAAAGGCTGAATGTTTTCCCCAAAGATCAAGAATAACTCAAGGTTACTGATAATCTGCAAAAGAGTCAAGTTTCACCACTTTTTTTTTTAAAAGAGATTTTTTCCTTAAGATACATGAGCACGATGCTTAAGATACATGAGCTCGCTGGAGAGAGAGAGAGAGAGAGAGAGAGAGAGAGAGAGAGAGACAGAGACAGTGAGAGGAAAAGTGAGAAATCACCCCCCAGGTGGGTGGCCATGTCGCAATCCCTTCTCCTCCATTCTCCTCCTGGGATCTTGTGCATGCACGCAGAAGCGCTTGCTATGAGTTTTAAGCCACCAGGTCCAGGACTTGACCTGCGGTTGGCTATGTGGAAGCCCAGTGACATAATTTCTATACCATCTGCTAGCCCCCACTTTTTTTTTTTAATTGCCAAAGGGTGTGTGTGATGGCCAGAGAGAGAGCAAAAGAGGGAGAAAGCACTCTTTCCAATGGGGCGCGGTCACACTGCAATCCCTTCTTCATTTCTACATCCTATTGGGATTTGAGGCATCCATGTAGCACAACCAGTGAGTTTTTCAAGCTTCTGGGGCTAGGGTTCAAACCATGATTTTCCGTGCAGGATCTGATGCCCTTAACTACTAGTCTAGATGTTGGCCATACTCTCACCAGTTTTATTGATCATACTGCCTAGAGGCAGTGCTATCAGACACAAGACTGGCAAGAAACTATCTTTCTTCACAGATGATATAATCACATATGTAAAAAATATTATGAAACCTACAAAAAAGCTGCTGGAACTAAGATGTAATTTAGAAAGTTTGGAGCATACAAAAAGAAATGATCTTTCTTTATAGTGGCAACAAACACTGGAAAGTAAAGTTTTTTTTTAAAAAAGTAACATATACAATATCATAAAAAATATAAAATATTGGGCTAGCCAGTGGGGTAGTGGTTAAGGCAGCTGGATCTCACATGGGCAACTGTGTGGTTTGAGTTCTAGACCTGGTGGCTTGAGAAACATACCAGGTGCATATACGTGCATGGCTAAAATTTCCAGAAGAGAATGGAGGAGAAGGGATTGCAGCATGATCATCCCCTGGGGTGTACTCTCACTCCCCTCCCCCTGGCAAATGCACATACCCTATAGCAAAAATGTATATGTTTGAATTAGAGCTGACTGACTCCAAACACCACCCAAAATAGCACTTCTACCTCTCAACAATTCTAAATATGCAAATTATATAATTTATAAAATTAATATATCTATAAAAAGTACTTAGGAATAAATATAATAAAAACCATGAAATCCCTATACTGAAAAGCAAACAAAAAAACTGCTGAGAGAAGTTATAAAAGACCCAAATAAATGAAGAAATAGACTGCATTCGTGGATTAAAAGATGCAACATTAAAAAGTCAATCCTCCACAACTTGATCTATATAGTCAACACAACCCCAATCAAAATCAAAGTGAAATTCTTGTACAAGTTGGTTAACTTACTCAAAAATTTGTATGAAAATTCAAAGAACCTAGATTAGCTAAAAGAAAAAGAAAAACAAAGTGGAACTAAAGCTTCCTGATTTCAAGAGTTAATACAGTTGTGTGTTGAAAAATGTTTTCGTCAATAACAGACCACATATACAATGATCCCAAAAAATTATAATAGGCTATATACCATATGGCTTAGGACCATGATGGTCCATAATGTATTTCTTTTCTTTCTTTCTTTCTTTTTTTTTTTTTTTTAGAGATATTTGCTATAGGGCACGTGCGCTCACCAGACACAGAGAGAGAGACAGAGAGACAGAAAGTGAGAAATCACCCCCAGGGGGGATGGCCACACCGCAATCCCTTCTCCTCCATTCTCTGCTCTGGATCCTGGGCATGCACGCACAAGCGCCCAGCGTGAGTTTAAGCCACCAGGTCCGGGATGCGAACCACGGTTGACTACATGGGAGTCCAGTGACATAGTCATTATGCTAACTGCTGGTCCCCATAATGTATTTCTATGTACACTCTATGATGTTTGTGCAACTTGCCTAAAGACACATTTCTCAGAATGTATCTTTATCATTGAAATGGTGTATTAGTGCATAAAACTGCAGTGTGATGGTAATATGGCATTAGCATCAAGATAAACAAACACATCGAGATAGAATGGAAAGATGGGGCCAGTAGGTGGCATAGTGGTTATGGTGCTGGACTCCCACATGGTCAATCGCAGTTTGTGTCCTAGACCTGGTGGCTTGAAAATCACACTAGGGGGAACCAGCAGTTAGTGTAATGGCTATGTCGCTGGACTCCCACGTAGTCGATCGTGGTTCGCGTCCTGGACCCGGTGGCTTAAAACTCACCCACGGG